TCAACTTCCCTCCGCTTTTATGCTGTCCACATTCCCTTTGGCTCCGCCCACATTTTCTGTTCCCGCCACAACGCTTCCTCTCTGGCCGTTCACCCATTCCGGATCTCCTGTTCAATGGATGGATTTCGATGCGGAACAAGGAGACATTCATACTTTTAAAATTGCTTTTTGCATGGATCAGAGAGAACTGCAACTTATTGATTTTACAATTTACAAGATTATATTTCTGTTGATAGTTATTATTATTATCATTATCATTATTATCATTCGCGTGAAAACATGAAAATAAGTAACTTCTTTTGTGTCTCCGTGTCAGATATTATTTTTAATATATATTCTTGTAGCTTACTATTTGTCTTGGCTGAAATTTATCACATTTGAATGGAAGGATTATCTAGGAATAATATCAATAGACAATATAAACATCAAATATTGCATTTCGATATGAAATAATAGGAATGGTGAACAGCTATGGAACTTCAGAAAAGAAGGTTGCACCCTGCTGCCCTTCTGAGAATGGAACTTTGTTAAAGAATTCGTCTTACGACAGAAGCCGCTGCTCCCTGACTTTTATTCTTGGCAGTGAAACTAATATCGCAATTCTAATGTTTGCAAGCAGACAGGAAAAAATAATTACAAATGAATATCCTACGTCTGCGCCTGCATTACATAACACTTTTTTATCTGCTACATATGTAAGAGGTAATATGAACGTCCATCTTAAATATTTTTACATTTAAGGGAGTACATAACAGATGAAAACCATGGATGCCTCCCCCAACTCCCGGCAACACTATCCCGGAGGAGGAAATACCGACTTCAGTCATTCGTTGCCGTAAATTCCACATTTGAGAGCAGTCGATGCCAAAGTACTCATACATCTACGATGGAATGTAAAAATTTTTTTCATGCTTAGGTTAGTGATATGATATCATGAGTGTATGATTTAGTACAATTGATGAATAACGGATACGTGAGGTGGAATCTAATGACTAATCTCACATCAAAATGACTCAAGATTGAGATATAATTAGCCACATATTTCACGTATCATTCGTAAAATGAATAGGTTCTGTTGTTTCTTTTTAATGTCATTTATGGAAATGAGTCCTGCATTAACCAGTTATTCGAAAAAGTAATGAGATCCTTTCGTCCCAGCTAAAGTTAACACAAACATAGATGCCGCCAAATAGTCTCTCCATTTATTAAAGCCTTATATTTTCCATCTTGACTTCAAATCTTTCATCACCAGGTGTTATTTTGTTTTCCGATGGTGATTTTTTCCTTTTTCGAAAAGCTTATGAATTAACAGAGTTGATAAATAACCTTTATCGCTGGAATAAAATACATTAAAAAATAATTTAGTTGAATGTAAATGAAAAAAAAAAATCGAGCCTTACGATTCGAATTTCTCTTGATATCTTGTTTTTCTTTTTGATTGTTATTTCAAGAAATTGGTTATCTTTATATTTTATTTTATTCAAGTCTCCAGTGTTCACAGTAAAGAAGGTCGCTGCTGTGGAGGGCAAGATGGGCGTCCGAACCTCGCAGACGCTCCATCCTCTCCCTCCCTGTCCTGATCTCCTTCCTGCTGTCCTTCGGAGACGCCAGTCAGCACTGCAGTTACAGTCACATGAGCTGGACCTGTGACTGCAGCTTCTACTTGGACTCCGCAGCAGCAGCATCCGAGATCTGATCCTCGCTCCAGTATCTAGGACTCCTGCGCCTCCACCTCCTCCTCGGCTGCCTCCTCCACCGGCGCCCCGAGGTTGACGTGGACGTAGCTGGTGGCGTGGGCGTGGCGGTGAGGGTGGAGGGCGTAAGGGTGGGGGTGAAGTGCGTGGGGATGGGGTGGCGTAGTAGTGGCGGTAAGGGTAATGGTGGTAGTATGGGGAGAGATATTGGCGGTGGGCGGGATGGAGGGCGTGGCGGTGAGTGACGGCGGCATGGGCGTCGTCCACGAGGCACAAGACGGCGAGGGCGGCCAGAGCCAATATCTGTGGGCGGGAGGACAAGTTATTATGAGGATGAGACATTTTGCTTAACTTCATGCAAATTAAAACCAACATCACAATTTTGTTTTTATTAACTCACCACAATCTTCGTGGCCATGATGGACGAGTGAACAGGTCTCAGCAGCGACACTTCTGTTCTCGTTCAACTTCCCTCCGCTTTTATGCCGTCCACATTCCCTTTGGCTCCGCCCACATTTTCTGTTCCCGCCCACAACGCTTCCTCTTCTGGCCGTTCACCCACTTCCGGTTGTATCCATTGATGGATTTCGGTGCGGAACAATTAGGCTTTTAAACGCTTAGAGTAGCCTTACATGGTTCAGAGAGAGCTGCGGCTTCCTGAAATTTCGATGAGATGCTATTTGGCTTTTACTCGTTGAAAGTTGCATTTGGATGTTTCAGGAAGAACTGCGAAGCATGTTGAGCACTGTTTTGAATATTTGCGAACGGATACAGGACAATATTTTAATAATTTCGCGGCAGTCTAATACATCACTTCTTCTTGTTTTTTTTTTTACGTAGTCGACACAATTCAGACAAATCACAGGCTAAGCATGAGGAATCTCATTTCCTGATTCTGAGCATGAGTTCAGCGCTCATTCAATAGCTCACAGTCCTTACAACCAATTTCCTAGCGTTTTGAACTGAAAATATGAAACTAAACACTCCCTACAGAGGTAGGGACAACCACATTGTGTTACCTAAGATAATATATAGACAACGTAAAGAATCAAACTTTATTATTATTGATATATCAAAATCAAATAAGGACTTCTGAGACGACAGCCCTCAGAGACCGCGCTAATTCCGCTCCAGGGCACTGTGATAACTATATAAAAACTTTCAACAGACGCCACACAAAGCATTTGTCTACGCTCCTCGCACTATTCTGAGCTCACCTCCGGCAGATAGGTAGACTGCGCACAAGATTGTGTGTTAACTCTCGGCCCAGTTACCAGAGGCAAATTAGGCTACTAGAATAATACAATCCTATTTTTAAAATATTCTGATATTCCGTGATTCAATCCACCCGCACAATCTCACCAAAGGCATTCTGTTAGCACTTAAGCAGACTCATCTCGGGTTAGAATGTTTAGAATCAATCTTTGTCCTAACTTTTCAGTAATGAAGTCACCAGAGACCAGACTATTCTAACTAGTTGCACTGTATATGACTAAAGTCATAACTTCCAATTGGCGGAGGTTACTTGTAGGGAGCATTTGAGAGTTGGGGGTATTTATTATATACATATGTAGAAACCAAGTTGATAAGATATCGATGGGGGAGAATAACTGAGGAATGTGGGAGACACTCTCGCAGACCACTACAGGCAAGAAAAAATAGAAACAAAAAACTCACAGCCGCCGCGCGAGGGGCTTAGTCATTATAGCCAGATTCAGTCGAGCTTGATAAGTTTTCCTCGGGATGCAGATTGCAACACTTTGGAGTGAAAAGAGAGGGGAGGATTTATGACGGAATGGATGAAGGGGAAGGACGGGAGGAGGGCGTGAATGAGCTCGAAAAGCACACACGAGGTAGAGGAAAGTGAGTTACAATTAAGGGTATAGAAGGACGATTCTATGAACGGGGAGACACATCACTTACACACGTATAGTTCCACTGACAAGCACTCACGAAAGCAATATCTAGTTATTCTTATTGGCAAGTTCATCAAACCGAGTACATTGTAAGTATACGGAAATCTGATATTTCCTGTCCTTACGCTGTGCCGTTACCGCACAAGCATACGGCCTCACTATCATATATCACCACACCTCTAATACATATCATTACTCTATAACCGTATCACATATATTCCAGTAAACACAGCGTCACCTATAAACAATTTAGTGTCCATCCTTTACATTTCTCTCTCTACACAATATGATTAACTCGCACGATGAAAAAGAGGATATTTTGTCACGCGAGAGCAAATTAATTGGGATTAGCAAAACCAATGGGACGCGCTCTCCTGATATAGTCTCAACGATTGTGAACGTCACACGCTGCAGGCCCACACTAGAGGAGACCTACCTTATACTCTCGCTGCGCACCATAACTCGAGACGGATTACCTACGGCGAAGTAGCCGAAGAACTTCCACAAGCAAGGAGGTGATATTCCTCTGACGCCTGTTCTATTACAACTAAATGCAAGAACGAGTCTCAAACGTTATAGCCTTATGTGGGATATCCTTTCGTTGCGGAGTGCGATAGAAGCACTTTCGAAGAAGCAAAGAGTATAAGATGGAGGCAGGGACCAGAGAGAGATATGTACAGAGGGATAGATGGGGTGAGAGTGAGCGAAAGGCAGGAGGGGTCGGGGGCAGGTTCGTCTGCGTAAAGTGAGCAGAGGCGGAGAGAAGGTCATTTGCAAGGGAGTCAAGGGAGTATGTGAGAGAATGCAAAAAGGGGTATGGGGAGGGTGAATGGGATGAGAGGAGTCGACTCGCAGGGGAAGCGTGAGGGGGATGGCAGACGAGAGCTGAAAGGGGAAGGGGGAAGAGAGACGTGGGTGCCGAAGGGGAAGGAGGGGGGGTAGCGATAGAGAAGAATGGGGTAGGGTTAGTGGATTGTAGTATAAGGGCAGAACGCGAAGAGGAGGAATTGGGAGTAGAGAGCGATGGAGAAGGGGTGGGGGCGAGATAGAGAGATGGGGAGGGAGAAGGGGAGAGAGAAGGAAGGGGAGGGAAGAGGCGAGAAGGAGCCAAGGAGTAGATAGTTGGAAATTTGACGAAAAGAGGAGGTAAGGAAGAGAATATTATGGTTAAGGGGAAGTAGGAGAGGAGATATATGTGGTTGGACCCACTAGTAGTAGAGGGGAAAGATGGGGAATAGGGGAGAAGGGAGTCCCGCGTCCGTTAGTGTGAATCCTTTAATTGAACTTAGCTTGGGGTCGTGGAGGGTCTTTTGTCCAATTACCATCTCGAACTTAATAGCCGGTCATCTAACTATGTTATATGGTTTTTTGACTCATATAAGTATCTTTGTCCAGGCAGTTGGCTGGGATCTTTTGCCACGCTATACTATATTGCCAGATTAAGTGTCTATGTATATAAGTAATAGTATATATATTATATATATATAATAGTATATTGTCAGTATATTATATACTATTATATATATGACTCCCAAATGAAGTGTCGTGAATGTAGTGCAATTGTTATAATATGATCTCTGGGTGGAATCTTGCATGCAATTTCACATCATTATCAAATTAGATTTCGATGTTAATTAGCCAAAGATTTAACGTTTCTGATTTTTAAATGAATGGGTTCTGCTTTTCTTTTTTATATTATCTAAGGAAATGGAGTTTATAAGAATAAGTAACAGAAGTTCTTCTCTGCAAAAAATGTAAGTCATGAAAAGGCATAAAAGAATGTGAGAAGGATAAAATAATTTTATATTGCCCATTTCGTCAAATCTTTCATCACCATGAGTTTCATATAATAACCTTTTTCATCGGCCGAGGAAAAACATCAAAAGCAACTTTGCTGAATATGTATATGAATAAAAGATTCTAGCCTTACGATTCGAATAATGAAAAAAATGTCATACTTTCTCTTGATATAGCTTGTTTCACTTTTTGGTTGTTATTTAAAAAAACATTGATTACATTTTTGAATGTTTATTATCTCCAGTGTTCCCAGTAAAGAAAGTCGCTGCTGTGGAGGGCAAGATGGGCGTCCGAACCTCGCAGACGCTCCATCCTCTCCCTCCCTGTCCTGATCTCCTTCCTGCTGTCCTTCGGAGGCGCCAGTCACATGAGCTGGACCAAGCCAGAGCTCAGACTCGGATCCAAGACTCTTCAGCGTCTCGCTCCAATGGCTAAGACTCCTGCGCCTCCACCTCCTCCTCGGCTGCCTCCTTCACCGGCGCCCCGTGGTTCACGTGGACGTAGTAATGGTGGTGGGGGGTGAGGGTGGAGGGCGTAGGGGTGGGGGCGAAGGGCGTGGGGATGGGGGTGGGCGTAGTAGTGGCGGTAAGGGTAGTAGTGGTAGTATGGGGAGTGGGAGTGGCGGTGGGCGGGATGGAGGGCGTGGCGGTGAGTGACGGCGGCATGGGCGTCGTCCACGAGGCACAAGACGGCGAGGGCAGCCAGAGCCAGGATCTGTGGGCGGGAGGGCAAGTAACTATGAGGACGAGACTCTTCGCTTGATATAAAACAAATAAAAGAACAGAAAACTTTAGATTTCGAATAAAGTGTGGCCAGCGATATATACATTAGCAGTCTAAGTATGAGTGACTCACCACAATCTTCGTGGCCATGATGAACGTCTGAACAGGAGTCTCAGCAGCGACAGTTCTGTCCCCATTCAACTTTCCTCCACTTTTATACCGTCCACCTCCCCTTTGGTTCAACCCACGTTCTCTATAGCCCTGCCCGCATTATCTCTAATCCCGCCCACATTCCCTTTAGTCCCGCCCACAACGCTTGCTCTTCTGACCATTCACCCACTTCCGGAAGACCGTATGTTTTACTAGGACAGGGGCTCCTAACCGGGGGTCCATGTGTAGTAGGAGTCCGTGGGGATCAGATGAAAAGTAGCATTTACATCAGTGTTTATAGATAATTCAATTTCGTGTATGTCATATGTGAGATAATCAATTCTCAATAGATAAAGTACATAATACAAATTGCAAAGTTGTGTCTATGTGAAAATCTCTGGGAAAGGTGTTCATAGCTATCAACCGATTTTTAAAGGGGTCCGTAATTCAGAACAGGTCAAGAACCACTATACTAGTATGAAATTGGTCTCATTTGGACATGTTCCTGAGATCTGTTGTTAGATTCGATGCCACACACAGGCGTCTACTCTCTTCGCCTCACAGAAGCACACAGTAGATGTTTATTTATTTTTTCGACACCATCTCGGAGAAGGAAAAAACGGCCTTAATTCTCTCGCAGCCATAAAAGTCACGTTAGAAAGCAAGCTATGCCAAGATGGTCGCGCAATCTTCGGCTGATTTTGGCTTTTATTTCTGTAAAGAGGTACGAAAGTGGAAGGAAAAATGCATTCAAAACCCATTTCAGTCACCAAAGCTTTATATACCTCATACTTCTTATTTTTTCTCCACGTGTGTTATCATGCTTTCCGTTAGTGATAAGATATATTTTTATCACAAATGAATACTTTCGAGTAAGCGGATCAATTAGCACAGGTGATAAATAACCTCTCCGTTTGGTTGAGTTTTATGGTCTTACATGAAAATCCTTATGAACAATATAAGCAAAAGCTTTCTTTTGACACTGCGATTTTTTCTTTTTTGTCAACATATAAGGAACCGAGTCCTGATTCATATCAAAAGGAATAGGACCATTTTCTCTCTGCAACAAACAAACAAAGGACTCTATAAATAACTCCGGGTATCTTCATCAAAGCCTTATATTCCCTGTTCACTTTATATATACTTTATATTTCCTTGTCATATACTATCCTCTTTTTTCGTTTCTGACAGGTCACCTTTCCTTTTAATGTATTATGAAAT